AACTCCACCTACTCCAGCCCAAATCTCAACCCTGATCCAAGATATCCCTTCAACCCTAACCCCCTTACCCTTCCCTGGTCCCCGTTTCTACCCCCCAAAAAAATGTGTCAAAAGCAGATTTTTTACCCACCCGTCCCCGAGAGTCGAATTTGTTCCCCGTCATCTGGTCTTGCCTGACAGCAGGGTTGCCGTTGGTGGACAGGCTGGGAACCACCTGGTATTCGGCGCTCTGCAGACCGTCCGTTGCCGGGGAGCCCGTGGAGATGCGGCCTGTTGCCAAGGAGAATGACAACAGTGATGAAGACGTGGGTGATGCGGATGATGTGATACCATCACCGGGAGACTGGCTTGCAACCTGCACGAGGTAAGAACTTCGTTATCAAAGACTTCTCTTGTCCCGTACTTTCACGCTGCTGTTGCATTATTTGTTTCGTAAACTGTTTGGGCAATTGCTAAGAAATGAAACAGGAAACCTAGGGAGGATTTCAAACTAAAGTGATCAGCTGTAATTCAGATACCTGTACAGTTTGTTTCCATGGTTACAGGCTATTATGTATTTTCGGCACTTTTAGCAGATTTCAAGATTTTTTTCCAAGAGCAACCCAGTCACAGTGCGAACAGAGCAAGAACAATTTTGGTATGAAGCATCTTTCTTGTTCTGATGGCAAACGTCAATTTAAGAGTTTCTTAGCAGTACAACATCACAGAGTCAAGGAGGAGGTTTCCACCTCACGAAGCACACATGTACTGCTGCCTCATGACTAGTGCTGGCAGCCAGGGGCAATGCCAAGCCCTAACCACTTGATTCCCAATCCTCATCTTACTTTCTTCTCCGCATTCCAGTCGGGCACCTCCAATTGTCCCTGCTCGGACCGGTTCCCCCTGGCCGTGTCCACTCCACCCAGGCACTGGTAGTATTTGGCCAGGAGATCCTCGTCACCCATCATATCGTCCAGGGATTCGTCGGCCTGTAGGTCGGGGGGATCGGTCCAGTCCCACGGCTCCTGCTTGATGACTGGCGAGCTGGACTGGGACCAGCTGAGGTAGATACAGATGTCAGTGTTTTGATCAACTCATTCTTAAGCTACATGTACATGAACAAGTTGAGTCACGACACAAGTCATTTTTTACAAGTCACGTCACAAGTCAATTTTCCCGAATCAAGTCCAATGTTCCAGTTCATTTCTTCAAGCCTTTGTATGGTACATGTACATGTACATTGCATTATATTTATACGTACATGTACCAGTACATGTACATGTATGTGTTTACACTTTTTCTGACATCTTTATTGATGTTCTAGCCTAATGGTATTTTAAATTTGCCCTCTCTGCTTTAGGGCTGAGTCAATTTGAATAATTTGACATTCAGTTTGAATATCCGAGTAATGGGTCATACTGACCAGCAGATTGTTGAAGAACAAAACCAGACAAAATCAGTTGCAATACTATGCACAATGGTACTTTATAATCACCATGATAGCTTCTTACGTCTAGGAGTTTAAGAGACCAACAATACTTCTTGCCCTGTTGAAAATTTCTTTTCCTTTTAATTTTTTGAATGAGTAATGTACTTTTTGAATCGCTGTTAGATTTCTGTCGCTTTTCCTTTGAATCCGCTTGAAACAAGACTCCATAGTGCAATTTTTCTCATTTAAAACAAAAGAAAAGAGTCCCTTTTTATGAAGTTTGCATTCGAATGATTGAATTCGGAAATTAATATTGGAATATTCGATAATCAAGTATTCGGCACAGCCCCACTCTGCTTAATTAAATACATCACAAAATGCTACGTGTCCTGGTATAAAACATCACTATAACAGAAACACGTTTTTGGTTTAGCATATCAAACGTTGTCACAGATGTTCTGTTGCCCATTAGCTATTTCAACAAGACAACTTTATTCACGTCAAGTCTACAGTAAGTTTCTCCCAAGTCGAGCTGAAGCCAAATTGGAACTCGAGTCTGACTGGTGTCCAAGTCAACAATTCAAGTGAACATCTGTGACAAATGCCGAGAAGTCCAGTTTGAAAATACGCATTCACTGTTCCAATTACTAAAAAACCATACCATATTTCATTCACTACTGACCTGCAATATTACATCTACAGGTCGTCCGTCAGTATTTTTTATTATTTTTGCCAACAAGGGCAAGTTAAGACGGATTGCGGATCGACCAGCGTCAACTGCAACAATGGACAGTTGGACTGTCTAGCCAACCATCTGGAACCAGGCCTTATTGTCGTATTGCTGGTGATCAGTTCTTTTCATAATTACATGTGGTTTCTGAAGAAATCTATGACAAGAATGTGACTGTAAGACCACATATAGTGAACGCAATGGGCAAAGCAACCCAACAACAAAATGTGACTTACAATTGGTTTAACAAAGTACTTTAACGGGCCGGGTCACCAGAGTGACCAAGTATTGCTTGTGTGCCAAGGTAACTAGTCACGGTGACTGTATATTTCATCCCTGAACTTGCCCCAAGATGACAATAAGACGGCATTTTTATAAAATGTTTTTTACGTGTACCTGTAAGGTTCCTTGGGTAGCTCAGATGATAATGAGGTCTCTGCTGAACTCTGGGAGACGTGAGTGAGGCTCATGTACCGTCCCGGCGTTGACAGAGTAGAGGTGGACAATGGTGACAAACAGGGCGAGGTGCTTGTATACGACGAGCCCATGTGTACTTCGGTGTCAGAAGTGGGATAAGCACTGTTGGGATTCTGACTGCCAAATTGTAGTGCCAATGGGACCGTCGCAGGTAGTGAATATGGTAACTGAGGCTGATTCTTCGTCGGTGTGCCTGAATCAATGCAGATCAGTGTGGACTGGGGTTGGTGGCAGCTGGATTGTGGGCCAGCTGGGGTCTTACCGACAATCTGGCCATTCAGGAGGGCTTGTTTGGCTCCCTGGTAGACCTGCTGGCTTGAACTGACATCGGAGACTTCGAGATCCGACTCGGCCGGTTTTTGGTTGCACGTATTGAGGCCTTGGCTACTTAGGGCTCTTGATGCAAAACGAGCCATGGATTCAGTTATTTGGTCTTCATCGTTCTCACTTGACAGGAGCATCTTCTCCTCGTCATCAGCTTCCAGAGAAAAACTGTCCTGTTTGACCGGGCTGATGAGGTAGAAGGAACTTTTGTTTGGGCTCAGCTTTTCATTCAGACTGCTGAGCCCGGACAGCCTGATGGGGCTGAGAATCACTGCAGGAGGACTGTCAGCAGTGCCAGACTTGCCGGTCATGAGCCGGTAGGCCTCCAGGAGAGCGCCCTGAAGGTGATCAGGCAACCCTGCTTGATCCGCGACATTGACAGAAGTGGTGTCAGGAGTGGGATCAGCATGCTGGTTACCGATGGAGTCCGGAGAGCTGTGCATGGAGCTGCTTGTCCTGGATTCCTTCTCCAGTTCCAAGATAGTCAAAACAATCTCGTCATCCGATTTTGTTGTGTTGAGCCGATTGATGGTGGGCGGGATTGCGTATTTCTCTGATTGAAGTGTCTCTGGCAGAATACAAGATGCTAAACAATAATTTTTGCTTCATAAAATATTGGAATATTAGATTACTTCCCTCTAGTTGTGTACATGTATGGTAACATTTTCTTTAAATGAAAAACATTCACATGAAATTCTAACAAGCCACTTTTTTCCATCAGATCAAATTAAACCATTGAAAAAAAGGTAAAATAATTTCTTTTAACGATAAAAGTCAATTTCAATAGACCTAAAACATGATGCCATGCTTTCTTTACATGTTCACTTTTCTCTAGTAATGAGGTTGGATGTCCCACGTGACAGCACACACATGTTAACAAAGCGTGACATCATGTCTCTTAAACACATGTAACTAAAATACATGCCATGAAGCAGAAAAAGCATGGAAAACGCTGTCTGGAAACCAGACCAAAGTTTCCACAGAACCACAAGGTAATCTTGCAGGCACTTAATGCAAGTGAAAAGAAGGCCTACACTTACTCTCTAGGTCTGAATCCTCGAGGAAGCACTGGCTAGATTCATTAGATAGGAGCAGTGGCGTGATGATGTCATCAGGAAGCTGGGGAATCTCACTGAGAAGCAGGCTGCCTTGGCTGCAGAGATGATCAGTCGCAATGTTTATTGATGAGCAACAGTGATGAGGGGCGTGCGACATTTAACAATTGTTGAATGCTGTGATGTGCTTTGAAGACCTGAGGGATGCATAGTGCCAGAGGCAAAGCCAACGGGGCTACTTGTATGCGTGGTCTTCAAAACGTCATATCTCACATCGCTGCAGTCAACAATGGTTTTGTCACATCTCTGTATTGATTTTTTCTCTTATTTTTCAAGGGATATTAAGGGCAACCAAAGGAATCGATCAAAATAAACAGTTAACCGTCTCTGCATTAATTATCCTGTACACTACTGGGGTGTGTGTGTACATGTATACAAACAATATCACACAACACTGGCTGATGTACTATCTAATGGTGAGTGTGACATGCGGTCATGTCACCCTGTCACTTGATCGCCCTGGGCCAATAAAAACACAGTATCCAAGACAGAAATGTTGATCCGTCATCCTCATACATGTATATGAGCAGAGGCCTACCATTTTAGCATGTTTAGGAGAAAAGACAGATTCCCTCTCACAATGGAGGTCAGCTCTAAACTTTGATTGAGTGCACCTTGCAGTGGAAAGTAGGCAAACTGTTTGCAGAACTTTTCCATTGTCATTGTAATTCTAAAGCTCGCATACATTTTGTTGTTTGTTTAAAGCCTGATTGAACAAAATGTTTGACAGGAAAGCGGAAGATTGTTTCATTTCTTTCCAAGTTTGTCTTTGTTCGAACACTCTATCTTTACTAACTGAAAACCAAACACTGACAAGACAGAAATGTATCTGAAAGTTAGAGATGTATATAATCCACAGCTCCAAGAGTTTTAAAGGTACCTGCTATCCTGATCAAGAAAGCTGCTGTTGTCAAGGAAAAGCTCTCCACCATTCGTTGTCTTGCTGTGAAAACATGTACAGAGTATTTCATATAGGGTAAATCCCTCCGAACCAAAATCCCTTTTGAGGGTTAGATGGGGTGGAAGAGGAGTGGTTGGACGACATATTCCCCAAAGATGTTCACCTCTACCATAGTCACACTCCAATTGGATGGGAATAGGAGGCAAATATAGTCAAGTGGACTTGTTTCAGATTGTATTGATGGAGGAATCCTCTCCAGTGGAAATTTCCGTCAGGGTCCACTTTGCACCCGGCAGTTTTTGTTTTCAGGAGTTCCATCAATTTATGGTTTCCATGCTCGAAGAAAATAGAGGTTTTTTTGTTTGTTTTTGTGGAGCGTCAATGTCGTTCTGGAGATGTACGTGTAAAGGTTGAACACAAGTCCTCATGTGGATGAGGACTTGTGACAATTTCTGTCTTCCTGTCATGTGAGAGGTTACGTGTGGTTACTTCTGCACCGGGCTGAAGGTGGGATTTCCCAACATTTTAAACAGCATTTTTGTTTAACCTCGGGCATTTCTGAATTCTTACCCGACATCTTCTAACGGGCGGTCCAGCTCAACCTCTTCTACATCAACGATTTCCTCCACGTCCAGCTCCACGTCCGCCATCCCAGCCCCCTCGATGACGATCCGAGGTCCTCTCCGCATCACCTTCCTCGGCGTCTGTGACTTCCTCCGGCTGGCCTTGCTTTGGGAGCGGAGCTTAGCAGTGGGATGGCGATAGGGCGATGCTTCAGTGCTTGAGGCAGGTGATGGAGTACATATGGGTGCTCTGGACTTGTGTTGACAGTTGCGCTGCCGGGTGATCCCACTTGACGAAAGAGATGGAAAATAGTAGTTTGAAGAGGAAGCAGCTTATATTGGCATCTTAGGCAAATTTTAAGAGAATATTTTCTCATTCAGATTTTTTTTTTAAAAAGGATGCAACAACTCCATTTTTAAATCCAAGAAATCTTTCCAAGATGGCACATGGATTTCCTGGACTTTTCTATCGATGTGTTTGGGTCTAAAGTAAAAGGCGCATTCAATCCATCTACATGAAACAGGTTTTAAACTTGGCATTTATAGCTACATTTTGTTGTCTGAAAAAAACATAAATTTGTGTAAATAAAACTCAAAACATGCTGCAAATTTAACAATAAATGAGAAAAGAATGTGGTCAAGGAAAATTGACGAGGGGAAGGATAAGAAACTGGCTTATTTTTTACTCTGCCATATCTATCACTCTTCAACATAAACAGGACACTTCAGCAAATATGTACTGCCGTAAAGTCCAGGAATGTGGTTTTCTGCCAAGCACTTTTATCCGTGCATGTACACAGGTTTGAAAATTGCATCCTTGAGCTCCTTCCATCCTGAGATGTTGTTCAACATGGCTGGCCTGTGACCTGTAATACTCAAGGGTCTTGGAGGGGTTGTCGCCTTGTATACAAACTCACCAGACGTGGCTGCCCACTTCGCTGTTCAGGGGATTCCGGGGTCTGACGCGGGCAGCGGTGGCTCGCTTGTGGTACTTTCTCCTGGGTGCCTTCTTGCCGTCGCCAACCATGCTCCCGGCATTTATCTGGTCAAGCTACACCATGTGCGGACAGGAAGCAAGCAAGATTTGAGCAGGCACAGAAGCACAAGTTTCAATTAACAGTGGTGACCAAGACTTGGGCGTTATCATCAGCGTAGTAAAACGCATGGAGACCATCACAAGATGAAATAAGACAGGAAACCATTCACCAGACCAGACGCAAGACCATTCACGACTGGCAATCACTCACAACACTTCACTGAACACTGTGTAAAATCTTCATTTCTCTTTCTTGTGATTTTGGTTTCCATTACAGCTGTCCCCAGTTTTCCAACCCGTGGTTGACAGAAAGCGTTTTCTTTGCAAAAGAAGGCTCTATGAGTTTTCTGCACATGCTGGATTCTCTGTTAAGAAGGCAATTTCTGCTGTGGGGATTAATTGCTACAATGGACAACGAGACACCTACTAGCTTCTAGACCGGCAAAGTAATTAACTGATCCACTATGTTCCAGCCTTGCACATGCGTGTGCACACATGTCAGACTTTAGTGTATATGGGACATAAATCACCGCTGTGGTTGGTCTGAACTCAATAGCATGGGGCTTCATGGATTGGTCTGTTAGTAAAACCAGCATCGCCCAATCTAGTCTTGGTACAAGGCACTTGTGTATATTTCAGTGATCTATCATCACTCACTGCTGAAAGACAGCACACAACAAAATTACTCTCATTTCCCCTTAACAGATGAAAATTGAAATGATTTGAACATACGCTTAGAAAATACTTTGCCATCGTTGAAGTTTACCTGCAGTATAACAGTACGCTAGACAAATCTACCCAAATCCAATGCAATCACGCCAAGGCCAGCCCTATTGCCCAAAGCCCTGATCCCATTCCCTCAACCGCCAACTCCTTGAGAAAAGGGCACCTTTTCCTTCTTGATAATCGGTTGACCAGCAATGCTGTCTCCGCTGTCGTCACAAAATAGCCTCTTGCAGCGCCCGCTCTTTGCTCTTTTGGGGCCAGGTCCCAGTGTGGCCCGCCTGACATCATTGACAAACTTGGCTGACCAGGCAGAGGGGCGACGCTTAGGGGCAATGGAGGGGGGATGGGTGGCCGAGCGAGGAGTGCCGTAGGGGGTCCGCTTCTGATACCTGAGGGGCGAGTTTTTTTTTGTTGGGGATTTGGTTACAAATCTGATGGTTGCTCTTGAAAATTTCATCACATCACTGAGGTTAGGGTTTGGTGCTTTTAAAAATGGCATTTCAGCATGTTTTAGCAGAGACTCGGAACATCCAGGGTCCATGCTATTTCTGGACAAGTGAATTATTTTGTGAAAAAAGTTTGTGTTTTAATGGTTGTTTACAAAAACCCTCAGCTAGCTAAAGCAATGAGCACAAGCAGTTGTGCAGAATGTTACCAATTTTTCACACAAATTTGCCTGTTTACGAGAACTTTTAAATTCATATCTTAATTCTACATGTATCTTTTTTAAAAGCCAACTCCGAGAATTCCAGCCTCACTTGGCCACGAAGGCCACCTGCCAAACCGCAAATTCTCGGTTTGTGGCCCTGCATGCTCTGCACGCTTTGATTTACACAGTGAAAAGGCTCATTGTTTGGTGGCATGTGGCTCTATTCATGTTTTGGATTACATATATTCTGTGTATATAACAGTGTTTAAAAAAATAACGTCTTCTAACCAGTGGTTAAAAAGAGAGTTTCTTGCAACCAAATTGTTACGTTTCCTCATTGTTCAAAATCAGAGTTTGTCTGTAGCCATCAAATGCCATCTGTCACTCCTCGAGCTAAGATGTTCACTGCTAGGGCCAAAACTCACCTGTCATCCTCTTTCCAAGAAGGGATGTCTTCCTGACACGTCAAGTCTGGGGTCACTCTGCCTTCCGGTTCCAAGTTTGGAAGGGGGGCATCATCAGCTTGGTCGGGTGACGTCAAGATTTGGGCGGTTTCTGGCCCAGCTTGAATAAGCGCATCGAGCAAAAGACCAAAAGAAAAATTACGCATGAGATGGATGCCAGCTGAGGAAGATGGGATTTGTTGTGTCGACCCCTGGCTCCAGCCTACCGAGATGAGTCGACCTGCTGGCTATCAAGAGCCACATTCCACGGGAGAAAATACACTGCATTCCATCAATCCCACCTGGACTTACCAACCTGGCATGCAGTATGCCCGGGTGCATGGAATAAGTAACTCTATAGCGCATCTGCGTTAACGCAGAGTAAGACACACAGTGTAAAACGTAACACATTCTTGGTCTCAAATCTCTACATTTGTGGGAGAGAGCAGACAGGAATATGTCGCGCAGAAGGTGCAATATTTCCTGGGGTTTTCTCAATTTCGGGACAATACTGACCCAAGCTTTGTGGATTTTTTTTCAACGTTTAATCATCAAGGTCTTGCTAGTTTTTGGTGGTACTGAAAACCAAGTGCAAGGTCTCACAATTTCAGGGCCGTTTGTGATAGAACTCACGCCTTGCTAGTTATTGAAACTCCTGAAAAGTCACAGGTTTTATTGCGATCACTGTTACAGCCCCTTGACTGGTTGTTCCGTGGATTTCTCTTCCTCCACCAATCTCATCCTTCAGCTCAGATATTGATTATGACCTTTTAATCTATACTTGACACTGTAACTTGAAAACTGCTGGTGCTCTAGTTAAGTCGTCAAATATATGTACATTTCACACTGTGTAATTTGTAAAATGTAGCTCAGCTAAAATTACTGTAATAAGTTTAAAAGCAGACACAAAACGAGCGTGCTTTTGTTTGCAACCACTTATCTGGAAGAAACATGTACCCGTTTACGAATGTTCTCTATCAGTTAAGCCCTGAATTCGCAGTCTGTTAATATCTACAGCATATGTCACAACAAGCAAAATGTGATCTTGTAAATCTGGTTTCTTTGTGAATGAGAGGACTTGCTTAGATTATTTTTTCAGGTTCTACTCTAGGGTTATAATTTATCCTTGCGAATTCGATGTTTGTGTTTTACATGTGCATCTTGAAGTTCATCTTTGAATGGTACAGGAAAAAACTTACTGTCTCCCAAGCTGATGACGGACTTTCCCACAATCTTGTAGCGCTTGGATGGTGAAGTCATGATGAGGTCAGGGAGAAGAGCTGAGTAAGTGAGAACAGTGCCTGCCTGGCTAGTGGTTGGATTATCAGCCAAGGTTCTGGCTGGACTGCGGTACAGTGGCCGGATTTGATCATTAGTTCCGTGGCTAACGGACGGACTGTGTACAGGACTGTAGGATGGATGGCTGCAGAAGGTGTGGCCACTGGTTTTTACTTGGCTGTCAGTCGACCTACTGGCGGGACTTGGTGGCCAGAAGGGTGGTACGCTTCTACATCTGGCAGACCGATTGGTGACCGGTGTTCCGGGCAAACTCCAGCGTGGGACTTGGCAAGGACTGGCCAGCCCAGGGCTAATGGCTGGACTCCGGTGGGCTGAGCTTTTGGCCGGACTCCAGTAGGCCGGCCAGTGAGGTGTCACTTCGTCATACTTTCTGGCCGGAGAGCGGGCCGAGCCCTTGAGGGCCAGTCCGCTGGGACCTGCTATTCCGTTCTTCGCAGCGGGACTCACAGAATGGTTGTCGAAGCTAGCCGGCCTGTCACCAACCTTCATGTGACTTGGTACACTAGGCACAAGCGGTCTATCCGGACTGTAGAGAGAGGGCGAAGTAGGAACGTAACTTCTCTGATCTCTCACTGGACTCTGGGAGGGAACACGTGCCACGTCGTGCAGTGCTCTACGTTTTGGATTCGTCATCACTTGAGTTTGCTGAATGTGTCCTTTGGAAATGCAATAAAGGGCGTAATCAATTCAGACATCAAAAGCTAATACTTTGAAATCTTCCCAATGATAAACCTTTCTATAGAAATTGAGGCTTTTTTTCAATGATCCCCTAAAATTTAGAATTTTTCCAGCTTTCAAGTGTAAAGCTTTGAAAATTTATGATGTGATTTTGTTATATCCTGAGTACCCATTTTTGATCGAATAAAAAAGTTCAAAATGCATATTTGGCCATCTCGCTTGCTGACTTAAAGCATTTAATTGCAGTGTAATTGTTCCCATTTGCTAATAAATTTGTGTACATTAAAAGCCTTTTGGGGTCCTACTAGACGTAACGTAGGAATCTTGTTGTGAAGAGCTTACCATTGAAAGCATTGTTTGGGATATGTTTGGGTGTGAGATTGAGAGTTTCCGGCCACGAGTCCTCCGTGTCGAGATCTCGCTCCTCGCAGACGAGGGACTTGGTCGGAGTGGAGGGAACAGCTCGTTCTTGTAGAGAGAAACAGAAGACACCAAACAAAAGTCAATCTTGAAAGCAAGCTGACCGCTTGCTACTTGGCAACCTTCTTAGGATTCCTCATATAGACGTGTCAAGGGATCGCCTCTTTTCAAATCCAGAGCACTAAAACAGGGATCTAGCTTGATGGCAAAAAGATGAATGTACCCCAGAAGGCAGTGTTGTGGTTGGGTACTTTTCAAAGACCAACTTCTTGGCCAAATATTGAACTTGTTGAGAGATAACAAAACTTGGAGTGGTGTGTGAAGTCTGAAATTTATTTATTTTTTGTAATCTTACCCTGGGGCATTTACCATAAACAAAGTCAAAGTTCCCTAGCTTTGTTCCGTTTTAGCCAGTTCAATACATGTATTTGGCAGAGAACTTGGCACTCAAAAAATACACGACTACAGTACTGTCCAAAGGTCTAAAGTTTCAATCAAAAAGATCCCACAAAAATAAACAGACCACAACAAGCATCCGACATACGTGTATGTAAACACTGACATCAATCATCATTACATAGCTTCAACTAAGTACGAACTCGCCAATATTTGTGACCTGTCATTACAAAATGAGCTGAAAGTTGGAATTTTCAAAAACCGAGATTGGTGTTTTTTCAATTCAGCAGAAAAAGAGCTTTCAAGTGGTATGTACATGGGACGCTAAGGGGAGAAATATAAGGTGACAATGTGACATTATTCTGGCAGCTTTGTGTCTTTGTTCCTGACGTTGTTTCAACATTTCTGACATGGCCAGAATAATGTTATCATCAAGATTGCTGAGAAAATGACATTTTTAAATATATGACCCTGCGAAACATTTGGAATTTCACAGAAAACGGCTTACGCTTTCCAAAGATTTCAACCCCCCCCCCGAAATTGACCTCCACTTCAATATGACTTTGAACCCTCAAAATAGGTAAGAGCGGGATGCAGTTTTACGCCTATTTTCAAGATCGGTGGTCGAGTGGTTAAGACGTCTGCACTAGTAAGCAGGAGGTCGTGGGTTCGAGTCCCACCCGAGTAAGCTCGTGAATTTTTTCGCACGCTCTAGGACAAGCACTGAGCATACAGTGTTCGATATAAACATTGGGTAAGGGCAAAACCCCTTATATAAATATACGCCTATTTTGTCGTGACAGCCAGGTCACATTTGACAAAGTTTTATTTAGCATATTTGCTAAAAGTTTAAGTGTGTTAGGCACTGATTAATGTGGAAACTGAAGGAGTTATGGCTGTTGGTGATAACTGACAGTTTCGTTTATAGACATACGTCACACATTACATTCTGTTTGCAATCTAACCTCTTGGCACATTGGACCTTGAGGGATCACATTCAGTGGGGTACTCCATTGCTGGGCCCGTTGCTGTCGTTTTCACCAAGGGAGGAACAAGCTGCTCGCTGTTGGTTTTGCCAAACCTTGGCAGGACACCTTCTTGCTGGACTGCTTTGGGCTCTGTTTTCTCAACAGAAGTGGTTTCGGTGCTAGAGGGCAGATATACATGCAATTGAACTCTGTCATACAACCGGACTATATCATAGAGCCTAGTTGAGCACTATTACATATGTAACAGTCAGGTTGGTGTAGTGGCTCTTTCCTCGCCTTCCACCCGGGTTCGAATCCCAACTAGGTCAGCATGTGGATTGGGTTTTCAGTCCCTGCCTGATTCTTTGGGTTTTCCCCTGGAATCTTCATCCATGGTTTTCCTCCCACCTCTGAAACTGAACATTTCTTCATTGTCTTGTTAACTCTCACTTCATCCTGTAATGTTGCTAAATGCGCTGTTGGATAAACGGATATTAATAAATATGGCAAAAAAAGGTAAATCTTCTGTAGCCTGGGTCACATCAAATGCATGTCAATATCCCAAAATGCCTTTTTGTCAAAGGAAATGAACTAGGCCCACATAACATAGTTTTTTATGAGATTATACCCTGCTATATATCTTTGAAACACAAGGTCCCTTGGACTTAAGAATTTGTTACATGTATATGAAACCTGCCTTATAAATAACCCTGAGAGTGACTACTTCTCAAAAAGGTGAAATTCAAGTGCCGTTTGTCATGTAGGGGGCACGCAGAGAGCTATAGACAAAATACAAATTGTTTATGGACTGCAAAATTAAATACATGTACCTCGTATAATAAAGTGGTGATTAAGAAAGAGATGAGACAGACATTTGAATGCCACTGCCGCTGGGCTTATTTTTTATGCCTCTGGCAAATATGCCGCAGTTTTGTACACATTAAAATGAAAATGTGATCACATGCTTTCACAAAACAATGCAGCACATGCACCATTAAGGGCTCCTATATGCTCATGTCATTGAATTCCCAGGTAAATACTCGGAAATTAATTTACTTGTACCGTTGGGCTTTCTTTTTTTTTTTGTCTGTAAAAATAAAAGAAAAAGCAAAATGACCTTGGCTTTTGTCTATATTTGTAGTAGAACTTGCGAGCAAACTCTCTCCTGGCTGACTGGAGACTTTGATGTCCTCGCGTCGGTGAAAAGCAACTCTTGTTACCTAAAATATACACAAGGCAATTACTGTCGTTGAAAAATTTTTGCAAGGGCTTTTGTATTGAGACAGATATCATGTAATAGCCGTGAAAAATGCTCATCTTATATAATGAAGTTGTGACTAAGGGAGATGTATGCAGCTGAAACAATGGAGTGTGGCTGCGTGTTGGGCGGGGCTTACTGGATCGGTCTACTGTTACCAATGTCAACCCTAAAACCAGAAATAGATCTTTTGGGGGAAAACGCTCGGGTTGCCCCACACCATGCATCCTGTGAATTACTTCTAGATCGACTGTCCAAAACTCAAGCAAAACTAGCGAGTGTCTCACCGTGTCTATCTGCTTGCTTCAAAAACATGAAGACAGCCTCTAAATACTGGACCTTCTGCACCGTCTTCTGAACGATCATTTCCTAGCAAGAAGCCAGAAAAAAAGGAGTTAGAAAATTGTTTTGTCGATTCACTGATGTGGATTTGAATTCACTGAAAGTCTGAGTGAGAACTTGCCTTGTGAAAAGAAAGTCTGCAGCAAGGGAGGAAAAGAAATGGTTATTTTTAGAGGATAGCTCCAGAGAAACATTCTCACAGAAACGAGAGGCACATGTTGAGGGTGAAATAAATTATGTTGCCCCCTCGTAATGTTTGAAACCATTTAAACGAAGGTCATTGAAGGTGGATCTTGAATTTTTATAAACTTTCTCAGCCTCAGAACAAAACAGAGTGATGTTTTGATCCAAGCATATTTTTTTTATCTCAAAGGCAAAATGAAAAAGTACTAGAGACAAAATCAACCAGGAGGAGGGGTGAGTAGACAGATGGCTGGCCAGATGGGTAGGCAACAATGGGAAGGGAAGGGTGTGAAAAGGCAGAGGTGGGTAAAGGACTGTAGGGTAGCAAACGACAGGATGAAGAATTTCTTACACGAAGAAAGCAGCCACCATAACGATGCTGTGACCATCAGAAAAACTACCCTCTCTCCTGAGGATGGCCAGAGCATCCTGGTTGAAACATTGAGTTAACACTCACCGGTTCCTTTAAAAACCCCACCTCTTCTTGAAGAGAAACGTGCAGATCCCATGGTGCACCCGCAAATCCTTAACCACTCGTACTACCTCCACCATGCAAAGTTTTAAAATTCAAATCTTGCAGAAAAAAATATATGCCACAAATCTTCTGAAGAAGCATGGGCCGGAGGTAACTATACTTGACACGATACAGAATGTTGCTTTCTTGAGCAGTTCATAGGAGAGATTCTAAAAAATAAAGATACCTTGGAGAGGCGAGTTTTGGTACAATTCCTCCCTGGAAGCAATTTTGTCTCCAGATGCTTGAAGCAGACGGACAGGTTAGAGCGCCACTTGGCATCGGACTCACGCCTCCTTTTCTTCTTCTCGTCCCTGCGCGGCGACTGTCTGGTTTTACCCTCAGTATTCAGGGTTGCCGTCGACGGAAGGGCACGCTGCTGCAGTTGCTGGCACAAAGTCGGCGGCCCTGCGAGCTGAATCGCCGGTCTCTTGCTGTGACCGAATTTCTTGTGGGACCACCGGCGGGGCGTCAGTGTCGGCGAGGAATGGGACGAGGATGAGGAAGTGGGGATCTCGTCATCAGGGTCGTCCTTTGACCTTTGGGCTGCCAGTGGCATGATGCTCCCTTGGTATAATCAAAATCAGAATAACAGTAAAGCATGACCCACATTGATCCTGTTATGCATAATGAAGAAAAGCGAACTGACCTCGATGTTAAAAAACATAATGGACCACTTTGTATCTACCTGACAAATAAGCAAGATATATGAAAAATTAATTTGTACACACTTATATAGAGCAGCCAAGGTTTCACCCTTTTTTTAACCAGATGAATGCGTCACCGTAGGCTGGATCACATTTAACCATGTCCCCTGCCTGGAGTTGAATCCAAAACGTTTGCACATCAAGTTTACAATGCCTGCAATGTATCCTGATCGAGTAGGTGAACATTAGTGAGGCCTATAGCTTCATAATGACATTTTTTCACCACTTTTGATGATTTTTTACAATTTTAACTGCTGCAAACGTTACAGGTTAGGCCAAACCACCCTTAATCAATCTGGTAAGAATTTAACGTTCCCTTTCAACGTCTCCCAATGACCTTGTCAAAGTGATAACGCCCTCGACTTAACGATGTTATAAACAAAAAAAGGCTGCAAAGCTTGGGGGACTGATGAACAAGTTATAGGCCTTGCCTAGCATTAGGCCTAAGCTTAGTGAAACAATGTGTCGAGCCTAGTAGGCCTGGAGTTGAACATGTCTCAGTCAGTCAGTCGCACGTTAAGGCAAATCGTGACCCACCGTTTTACTCACTCGCCAAAGAATGAAGCAAAGAAACAGCACTGATTTTTTGTTCATTTTCAAGCCAGTTGCCTCTCTGAACAATCGCTGGGTGGGCCTACTGGAATAATAAATGAAGACACCATGCTACTGCATAGGTTTTGCTCTATGGATCAAGCAAGGCCTGCGGCTACGACCCGGCATCATGACGCGGCGAATGACACGACGCTGCAGTCAAGCAACCGCTACATCATAGAGTACTCGTAACGTTCGTTAGGCCGCGGTCTGTCGTCCATGAGGCTCAGTACTCAGCCAACTGTGATTTTGTGCAGTTTTTTCGCAAAATTTGCTCCTAAATTCAAACCATACAACCACTCCCTAATTCTACACCACCTCTTGACTTACCACAGCAAATCTCAGTTGAAATTCCATCACACAAAATCAGCAGGGTGAAAGTTTATTTGATAGCTAAAATCAACAGATCATTAATTTTCCTGCAAAGTTCTGCATTAACGTACGTACGTACGTACGTGGTGCGCGGGTAGCTAACAAATGATACAAAATCACCGGCGAGCGCGCGTCACGCACCAAACAGCTCTCTGATTGGTCAGTTGTGGTTAAAAGAAACGAATTTACCAGTGGTCAAAAGTTGTGGGTTAATTTTGGGAACTTTTGTAACTCTGTGATTTCTTTACATTGAATTGCCTGGTCGAAATTATGTGGAACTTGATTGATTAATTTTTGCTAATATTATAAAATTGTGAGTTTGGAAAGCTGCATGTATTTTCTGGCATGGAGTAGTTAAATTAATTTCCATTATAGATGGTCTTTGTATGTTGGTGTATATGGTTTGCGGAACGCTGATGTCCGTGGGACCCTGCTAACTTTTGAAGCCTGAGAGTTAGGTTCTGCAGTCACTGTTCCACTTGCGGAGTGAAGTCTGTTCCACAACCTGCAGATGTCCTTGCAACAACCTGATAGTTCTCCACTGCGTCGTCTCGTCCCTGGCTTTTTTTGCCCTCTGACTTGGTCGACGGGTGTTGGAGGAAACTACCGCAGCTGCGACAAGCACCATTGGAATTTCCTGTAATACCTTTATTTATTTGTTACGGTAGAAAATTCCTGATAACTTCTTGATAGATTCATTGCGTTTGGATACAGTGTGGTGATTTGTGGATTTGTGGAAAATTTGTAGAACTTGATTCTTTGATTTTTGTGTACCTGTTTTCATGGCCGCACGTCCTTGAATGTACCGTTTACTGATTGATGTAGTTGTTTCACTTTGTTGGCAATTTACTAGAGGTTTGGTGATACAACTTTGGCATTGTTTGTTGAATTCATGTAAGGTTTGACTTTGCCTGGAAATTGAGAATATTCTGGTTTGATGTAATTGTGACTTTCGTGCTGTAATGTATGCCTTAAACTCAATTAAAATGCCTTCACCTAAAGATTCATATGCTCAGAGCTTGAGGAGTATTTTCATTTTAATTCTATACTGGTATTAATTTTTGGGGTTGTTTCCATGTTTTACTTGTTTAACAAGAATTATCCGTCGACTCGGGTGAAAAAAAAATTACTGGCCACGATGTGACTTATTATCGGTTGGCAGTACGTTATCCGTTGGCTATTGTCAATCGAGACATAACAGGGCCCTTTTCATAACCTCTTAAACGGGAAAGACAAACATGATGCCACGGCAATCTTGATAATGATTAAGTTCACTTTTAGCGATCCTGCAGGACGATGCACAGTTCTTTTGACGGCTTACCTTTATTCAACGATTGTAACATTGTTTTTGGTATGTTCGTTTGCCTTTGTGTGCACCCACCAAATAATAACTGAAATGAAATGTTTTTAGCAGCATTTTCTTAAAAAAGATAAAGTAGAATTTGGAACACAAAGGAGTCCGCCACCAAACCCCGCTTTAACACACAACACAAAAAAGGTTCTGTGTGAACAAGGTCCGAATGCTATATATAAAAAAGGAGCTCGTGCGTGCACGTATGCAATCCTTTTAGACATTGTGACCACTTGTTGTTTTCAGTGGTATACATGCTTCATGACATGCATTGACGGTCCCCTGGGAGATCGAAACCGCGAAGTTATATCGTGACCCACTTTGACATCACAGGTATGGTCTTTTACAATGTGATTTATTAATTAATTTGAGACGAAGGGTTGCCCTTGCACCATTTCCTTTGTAAGAGAGGTTATGAAAAGGACCCAAATACATAAATGATAATGTATAGCCAACGGATATAAACGTATCACCAACCGATAACGCATCACAAATTGACCAATATTGTGGACATTAACCTGTTACCTGTCAACTCATAATGAATATTTGTAATGTTTTTTATCTGAGCAAGAATCATTTGCGTCATGTTTTTATGTACACATTAGCTAAAGTGCCTCCAACTTCCGAGTGCCTTTGCCAGGGCATGTAGGGACACATACCCCGGGAGTACGAGTACACAATGCATACACCTTTGACTGGTTGTGTAGTGCGTTCCTCCACGTATGTGGGTTTGGTTCGTGAAGTTCGGACCATTCAATTTAAAAAGCTGTGCTTTTTAAATATCTGCATTCTTTAATTTTGTAACGCACTTTGAAGGAGTATACGATGTTCTGTAGCAAAAATAAATTTGTTTGTTTGCATTTGCCTATGCCCTTTCCTTTGAAGCCCAGGAATTCAAGGGACGCGTTGGAAGTGGGTGTAAGTTGTTAGGAATTATTATTTCGTTCTCACCATGCAATTACTAATCTCATCATGCAATTATCTGTCCCAGAATATCAGTTTCGCTCGTACAAATTAGAATTTCATTCCCACCAACTACAATATCTAATTACACCGAATGGAATAATTCTAGTAATCATGGAATGGAATATTTCCAAATAGGTCACTTGGGAGACATTTTGTGGTAAATTTTTCAACATTAGGGAGACATCGGTCATTAGGGAGACATTTCAGTGTCTCCCTAATGCTCCAACTACCAAAAGGAGGGAAATTTTTTTAATCCACATTTTGAGAGATGATAGATTAGGGTCTGAAAAAAACATGCAAAGTTTGGTTAAGATCGAATCAGGGAATATTGATTTATGGGACGGTAAAGTTTGAAAAATTTTGTGCACGTTCCTGTGGGAATGTCTCCCAAGTAACCCATTTTCGGTTAATTATAATAATTATAGTAATCCATAATAATGAATCAGAAATATTCACCTTCCAAAGCGTGATATCAATCAAGGCAGAACAAGAGTGCACTCCATAGATTTGTGTAAATAAGTGTTTTGCTTGGAGTATCATCCACTTAATTCTTGGTTTTGATGTTAAACGGATTGTTTTGACAATAGCATTACCCAATATCTCCTGGAACATCTTTTGAAGGGAGATTTTGAATGATTAATTTTTGTACTGCCTTCTATCTATGACATCAAAATGCCCTCTTGCATAATTGTGAAATAATTTTCTAAGAATTTTGAAAACGACGACTTCCTTTCTACTTCGGAAGAAAAAGCGTTTACTCTCGTGTGCATTGTTCTGACACATAGCAACAAGCGTGAAAACGGGTTGAACTGAATATTCACTACCTTTTTCCAATAAAATGTGCATGGAGACTAAAGGAAAATGTATTATAAATAGAATGTACACGCATGTACAAAACCATGATACAACCTAGTGTTTGTACTTTACCCTGTTCAGGCTACCCTTATCTACCCTATCCATGGAATAAAAACTCAAAGGTTGTGTTTGGCGCATTCATTGTTACTGGTAAACTTTAATTGAATTTTGTGCAGCCCATGGAATAACACAGCACATGGGGACTGAGGTATTTCTTATCTGCAAAGTTCAAGAAAGTCCCTTTTATCTTGGTCAAAATCAAGATCCCGTATAGTATAAATTTAAAATTAACTTCCTGTAAGCAATTACCAAACTTATTTACAATCTTGGCAAATCAGGTGTTGTCACTGCATAGTGTCGCCTGTAACTGCATGTATTCAGTATGTTTAAATACGGCGCTTGTATGCAAAATTTAAAGGGTCCATGAAGACGCCAAAGGCAAACTGTTAATTATTTGGTTATTCACTAGTACGCTAATAACACGCTAGGGGTCTAATGGAATAAAATACCCTTTGTTATTCACTAGTACGCTAATAACACGCTAGGGGTCTAATGGAATAAAATACCCTTTGTTGTGCTATATTTTATTCACAATTACCCCTTAAATGAATGTTTTAATCCTGCCAAATGGTGGCGTATATGTGTGACGTGCATTGTGAGGACAAAGGGACTTTGAGACGAATGGTGGCGGCAGACAAACTGGTCCTTTTCTGCGGTTGCGCGTGAGCTCAAAACTAACACGCATACCTAGAACTGCGCACGCATGCCCACATCCAAAAAAAAAAGGACCGTTGTATCTGCCGCCACCATGCGTCTCAAAGTCTCCCATTGTAGTAAGGCACCCTTTTGGTACGTCTCGACCATAGCACATGGACATTGGACATGTACACAAAATTTATGTTCCTGCGGAGTGTTCAAACATAAAATAGGGCCTGTAATGTAATTCGACAACCACAATATGAAGCCCATACTGCGTTGATGCAACGCTCGTGAACATGTGGTACGCGCGCGTTACATGCTTCTTCGACCAATTGGGGGCCTGTTTGTTTTACACGGATCTGAATCACGATCAGCGATCTTTATGCCGGTTTGCACTATCCGTTAGGCGAGCTTTGGTGTCTGTAAACCAATGACGGATCATTGATTGTGATCCAGAACCGTGTCAAACAAGTACGAACAGGGTGGCGTAATTTGGAAAATGCACGCGCGCGTCCAGCCGAAGAATGTGCGCGTGAATACGGTGACACCGCAAATTTCAATGAATTAGTGCTAAATGCATTCTGCTTAGGGTCCGATCCATTTTAATGGTTTTGTAGGTGTTTATGTGTCAATAAAAACCACAGCCGAGCAAAATGTGAATAATTATTTCAAAAATAGTAAAAAGGTTTCTGTTCAGTTTACCTTCTAGTAATTGACGTACTCGTCATATGTTTCATTCCTCATTGTCACATACCAGGCTCTAAATAATTAAGGTTTTGAGTTTCCGGACACGTCACTGATGAAATCTTTGAACAGATTTTAATTTTCCAAGAAAAATGCTATTTACAATATCTACACAGTGACCGCACTGTACTCCGATACTTTTAACATCAAAGTTAACTGCGAATCAGGCGATTACTTACAGTTCTAACTTTTCAATCAGTACGTGACCAAATTAAGGATATTAGTTTCTACATTTCAAAATGTTATCTGCACTACTATGGTTTGTGCCTCGGACAAGCCGTCTTAGTTGTCTATCCTCAAGACGCTTTCATCAGTCAACTGGGCGTCCCCCTCAACTGGACGACGAGGTCACAGTTGGGCTTCAAAGGTTTCTATCGTCTTGCCCTCTTTCTCAAGTGCATTGTAACAATGCTGAGCATGTTTAGGCCACAATCTACAAATTACATTTCATAAAATGACCGTCTTATGAATATCATTTAACAGGGCGTTGCATTCCCTGAATTGTCGTGTTATTAGTATACATAACTCTTTTTTTCCGTTACGCATTAAAATCAAAGCCCTACATTTTTAAATAGTGACCTGTTCTTAAATGGCAAGTAAATATCAAAAATACTGACTTGAGAGCAATACATTATATACAAAGAAAAATAATGAATCCTTATATTTATGGCGAACTTACGCTTTTCAAGACAGGAGCTGTCCGAGTTAAAAGCCCCGACTCGGACTGAAAATGACTGAGAAGCGAGTCCTGGCTGTTCAACTAGCTTAAAGATAGACTTTCTCGCAGCTATCGCCGGCAGCTTTCTCTTAGCTGTCGCCACTATTCCAGGACATCTTTCCCACGCTAAATCAACTCGAGGTGACGCTCTACAAATACATGTGCTATCGCACCACCACTCTAAGCTCCTCCCGTCTCTGGCATGAACTGACTAGACAATTTTTACCAGCCCTACTTCACCAAGAACTGCTCCGTAAAGCTCCCCATGTGTTATGCAAAATAAAAGTCCCCAATATCATTCAAACTTTCACCTTCCGGCCTTTTGGGGGAATAGCCTACCACACCCCCATAATCAATGTCATTAACATATTCACCAGGCTGATCATGCATGATAAGACAGGCGGACACTGAAACTTATGAATATTAATTTATGCAAGAATACGCCCTCTTCTGACACTACTTCCTTTCCAAGCACATTACATTATGTTTTTTCTAAATGATAGATTTGCTAATGTGATCTTGTTAATCTATACATTATAATTCATTTAATTTATACATCAGGCTCACCCCAAACAAGATACACCAAGAAAAGGGATTCCTAGTTTACAATCTCTTTTCCAGGAGCTAGATTTGCCATTAAAATCTCCTTGTAATACATGCATGTGTTTTCTTAGTTCGAAGATACCAGTTTTATACATCTCTCTCACTTCTGTACAAAACTCAAGACTCTTATGTTCCCTTGGCAGTGGTTGAGCAAATCTGCCCCAACTAAGTGTTTTCAGTAGCTATAATTATTGCCTCCACTGCATATCTGTACGGTTGTTAGGCCATCGACTTTCGCATAGCTCTACTGTTACTCTTTTTAGCCTGGGAAATATAGGTGAGTGATGTATGATCAGTTTGTAGAATGAATTGTCTGTCATACAGATGTTCTTTGAATTCTCAGTAGCTCAGACTAGACAAGGGCCAAGCATTCGCCTTTAATGGTGGAGTATGCTCGTTGGCTTGACAGGTTGATCCTGGCAAGGCAAACAAGAAACCTCACGTTATCACGAATCTGCAAGAGAACAGCACCTATCCCTATGTCTTACGCGTCTGTTTGCACTATGAACGGTTTTGTTGGATCTGGTAAGTGCAATATTGGAGATGCTGCTAGGCCGTTCCTCAGTGTTAGAAATGCGCACTCCTGTGGCACTTCCCAAACAAAACTCTTGGTAACTTTGCCTTAACTCATATCTGTCAATGGGCACGCGAGGGCGGCAAAGTTAGGAATGAACCGTCTGTAGTTTCCTGTGCATCCTAAAACGAACGCATTTCTTTCTTGGTGGTGGCTCCAATGACTGCCAAAATGTCCCTGACTATTTCGGGTTGCACTATAGGCCTCTCCTATACCCCAGTAGCGTCTGGTTAAGTGGCTGCGCTGTGAGGCCAGCCATTCTGAGCCTAGACACAACTTCTGTAAGTAGCTCTCCGTGTTCATCCCAAGTAATGGAACAGATCGATGTGGATATGCTATCAGTGTACTTGACAACATTTGCCAGGCTAGACAACAATTTGTGCATCATTCTACTAAACGCAGCAGCCGAGCATCAAACATGCCAAACGGTGAGACTGAAAACTGGTATTGACCGGCAGATGTGTCGAAGGCTGGTTTCTCCTTGTCTTGCTGGGTTATAGGGATCTGCTTGTATCCTTTGGAGGGATTTATTTTCGAGAGTATTGGCCTTATCCTAATTTAGACATCAGATCTTTGGGGTTGCGTGCAGCCCAGGTATTAAGCACATAATGGGATCCATGTGTGAAAGATCTGGGCATGTGTTAACCCATACGTATCCCATACTGGATCCACACAGGGAAACTCATATGGAGAGATATGCGCTGCCCAAATGGGTATCATATGGTACAAACCTGAGTATGCCCACGTGGGATCTACATGGGCTGACTCGTATGGTTGTCATATGGGAGAAATCTGGGCTATGCCCATGTGGGATCTATATACTTACGTTAGCCCATATGGGTGTCATGGGGAGAAACCTGGGTATACCCACATGGGATCTACATGCGTTTGCCCATATGTGTGTCGTATGGGGAAAAAACCTTGGCAATCCCACACGGGACCTACATGCGTTCGCCCATATGGGTGTCATATGGGAGAAACCTAGCTGGGCAAGCCCACATGCGATTTGCATGTATTTTCGTATTGGTGTCGTCTGGGGAAAATTAGGTCAGGTCGATATGGGATCTACATGAGCTGGTCTGTATAGGTATCACAAGGGACAAACTTCAGTAGGGCCCACATAGTCAGCATGAGTTTTATATGGAACGCCTGACACACAGGAACATATAAATTCAAAGTCATTATGTTCTGATTGACGTGCATTCTTCGTGTATATGGAAACGCAACGCCGGTTTTATACTTCTAGATAAAACACTGTGCCTTTGGTGCCTCGTCGATCTCAGTCTAGGTCACATTGGGAGTGTTGACAACTGCTGGCGATGGCTCACGGTGACCCTTTTCTGTTACAGTTGAGTATTCGTGATGTGGAACTGTGATGCAGAACCCATGCGTGGTGTGAATTTTGTGCTTGTCTGACTACATGTTCCCGATGGCCACGTCATTAACTGGACTCTCATACGCAAAGCCTTAACATTGCAAGCGTAATATGGAATACCTACGTTCTACCCATTCATAAGAACAAAACCTTCAGTGATACCTAACATTTGAGAGTTGTCTATTAAACTCTGCCTAACGACCACAGTGCTGCAACCTCCTGTGGCCCGTGACCCTAAGCTTTTGGGATCAGCGAGAGGCAAACCATTAATTAGTGCCTGTCTGTGGTGCACGATAATTATGGGCAAGGAGTGACCACAAATTACGACCACTTCCGTCCCCAAATGATCCTCACAATCTCGTAAGCTAGGACCAACAGGTAAACAAGTGGCACCCGTTTCATTTACACAGCTCTTGTGTGATGACTGCTCTAAACCTTGATCATGATCGCCCTCCTTAACTCTCAGACTTGCACCTGTCTTGTAGGTCGCGGATATGTTATTGTTAATTCGATTACGGTTTGGGCAGCAATGTCAGATACGACAATATTTGCCATACTCAAAACCCTTTTTTTTCTGCGGTCGATGCGGTCTTAGCTAAGGTTGGTTTGCCTTCGTTTGTCTTGCTGCGCCTGTTGTAATCTCACTGGGTGCTTTGATTCTCTTACTACTACTTGCACGAACTCTAGGGTTAGAAGTAAAATGGTACTGGTAATTGTGCACCTGTGCGAAGACTACCTAGCGATGACCGTACTGACATAACGACTTGGCTTGAGACTAACATACATCATCATGTACTAGTAAAACATTGATCTCCATAGTCTTTAAGATGGAGAACAGTGATGTAAACACAGAAAAGGACGTTGGGATATAATCAGAGATGGCTGGCAATCGATATAGTGATTTTTCTCATGTGATTCCGATATAAATCATTTATGATTGTTGATTTACGTGGCTTTTTTTCTTGGACTAAAGTGACAATGCCATGAGAGGAACTGGAATTAGTAACATTTTTAAAAAGCTGGAAAAGCCTACACTTAGAGCCCGCTCGATTAAATGTGCACAAAAATTTGTTTTTCTAAAAAAGCTTTTTAGCATCCCTGCATGGGCGTAAATGCCGGAGCATAGGGGTATATAAACCCCCCGCCTTTTGAGGTAGGGGACCGGCTTCCTTTTGTGATGAGCAGAGAAAAAACAAAAACAAATAAAGCGCATTGTGACGATTTTTCTGGAATTACCAACGACTTAAGTGTTTGCAGTATCACTAAAAAGAGAAAGCAGTTTTAAAAAGCTATTATTATACCATTCTGATTCCGCATGACTTTGATACGCATTACAGATGTACGTATTCATCATGAACGCCGCCCCCTATAGTGCATAATTATTAGTCCTTTATAGCATTCACACCTTTTACCCATACTGATCCATTATTGGTCGGTTCTTGATACGTTATCAATTACAATTTCTTGTTACGTTAGCAATCGATTGGTTATGAATTATAGTACTCTATTGGTCAATTATCAATGCATTTATTTACCGATTGGTAATGGATTATTGGTCAAACTGTGGTGCATTATAGGCTGCCACAGTCGGTGATCCGGGAGCCATTGGCTGCCACATTTAGGTCCTATCCGTTGAAAAGAAAAGAAAAAAACCCTTTCACTCAACGTTTCAGACATTATTCGCTGTCGGTCGTCAGGAGACGAACATGTCTCCACCGAACTTCATCGAGAAGCATAACAAAACTACACTTGTCTTGGACAAAAAAAAGATAAACTGTTGTGCTGTTAAAAGAATGTTTGTCTTTCAACCCTCTAATTATTTTATTAGTATTAAAAATGGCAACAGCCAACGGTACGTTAAAAGACACCATTACAAAGGACTTTCTGGGAGATTATGAGAATAAGGGCAAAAAGATGGTGGACTACCTAATGGAGCGCGTCTCCGAAATCAACGGAGACCCTTCGGCTCTACTGGCCGCCACCGACGAGTACTGCTACGGGGAGGGTCGTTGGATGATGCACGTCGGAGACAAGAAAGGTACATTCTTTAGCAGGTTTGTCCACGACTTCCACTACATTTGAGATTTTTCATCACTTTAGCGGAGCGAGCTACTTTCTTTTGTTTTTTGCAGAGATCAACAATGCCACGTCAACCGATTGATTTTGCGAGGACTTTTCTTGGTTCTACTCTTCCACTAGGGGCGGGGCTCATCTGCAACCACTTGCATGCATATACTTGTCTCTACTTTTAGGAGGGGGGCTTTTAATCACTTTTTTAGAGCTGTAGGTACGGTTTGTGGTGATTTTTTTAATTAATTTATGTGAAATAGTCAAGTTCCCTCAATGACAATGTCGTGGCGACTATCACTTTTTTTACAATTGTTTGTGATTTTCAACATGCTTTCCCACATCTAGCCGAGATCCCTGTGCACCCAGCATCATAACAATAGACGGATTGCGCCTACTACGCCACGTGACCTATAGTAGGTACCAAACATCAACAAACAAGGCGTCTTCCCATTACAAAGTCTCTCTGATTGTCATTCACAAAGAACAAAGCCGACGGTCGGCAAAGTGTCGGGCTACAGATGTGCTGAGTACTATACCGTCAAAGAATAGTTTTGCTTACCGGAAATCGAGTTTCTTAGATTTACTAAGATTTTTTACAACGGTGTATATTACTTTTTCGGCAGTTGAGGATTAGGTTTCATCAAATATTGCTGCAGTTGTTTACAAATTAGAAATCGGGCCCCAGATGAAGTCAAGCTTGTATTTGATGACTTGTATAAGTGTGAACTTGAGGTTGCATTGCCTAATTGATGGTACACTCATCAAGACGGTTGAAAGTTTACGTTTCGCTCTGTTTAAATAAACAGGGGCCATCGTGCGCAAGCTGGTCCAGCAGTTGGCTCCCAAGACATGCCTGGAAATCGGCACATACTGCGGTTACTCGGCGGTGTTGATGGCGAGTGTCTTACCTGTAGGAAGCCGGTACATCACCCTTGAGCCTCGAGAAGAGCTCGTAAATATTGCTAGGCAGTTTGTGAAACTAGCTGGTGCCGATGTTAATACCAAGGTATCATTAGCATCGCCATTTTTTTTTCTGGGGGAAAAGACTTTTTCCAGGGGAAAAAAAGCCATTAAATTTGGCATTTTTTCCATTTTTGTTGTCATTTGCATTTTTCCACCATTTCAGAGGGGCAAGCATCTCATTGCAATGCTCTTGTATTGTTTATCTACAGAGGTATTGCGAGTGTGAAGACTTTGTCATAAGTAAATACAGACTTTTTTAATTGAGAGAGCGCCAAGTTCATACTCTGGAACCAAAATGGCAGGTCATTATGTGTGCAGTACAGCAGCAGTTATTGTGTGCCGTCTGTGCAGTGATACATAATGCACCATTTTGGTTCCAAAACTTTAGACATTCATGTCGCAACTCTCCTAATATAAAACAGCTCAGATCGAGACCCGGCAAAAAGTGCCAGCATTTGAGCATGAGCGAGCCGTGGTGATTTTCGATAGTCATCTGTAGACAACGAGAGATAGAATGGTGCGATTAAGCGAGTTCATTGTGCTGCTGGACCTCGCGACATTCAAACGTTTCATTCATTTCTCACCAGGCATGATAAGCCTTTTGCGAGTTAAATTTGAATAAAATCTGGTATATCGAGTTATTTGATTGCACATAAATGTAACACTTTGCATTTCCAAGATTAAAGACACTGTTACTATACTTCGTGATTCTGAGCAAACTTTTGCATAACGACCAACATCTTTGGAATGGACTGGTTCCTTTGTGCCCTTCTCATCCATTGAAAACAGTGTATTGATACAAGATATCTCTTACACTGTGAACGGCCTGGATGTTATTTCCCAACAAAAATGGAAATGTGACTCGCCTGGATGTATTTTGGCAAGGATGATCCAATATCCCATGCACACCACCAAAAACAAAACCGAGCCGGAAATCCATCCGGTAAAGGCCAGAATCACATCGTGAGTTAGACTTTAACAACGCAGTCCTGGATATGATATCTGGCTCGGATGTGATTTTGGATAAACCCTGTCTTTCTCGGTCGGCCTCGTTTCCTCTAACCTCTGGGATTCCATGTCAGGGCCTGTCTATGTGGTATTTGTTGCTGGTTTTCTCAGCGTGTGCCCAATCCACCCCATCTTCTTTTCCCTATTTCGTTTTCTGCTGACAACTGTTGTGTTCTCTGGCATAGGTCAGTGTTGCTGATCTTTTCTTGCCATTGGATTTGGAGGATTCGTCTCAGACATTTAATTTTGTTGATGAATATCTGGACCATGTTGATGGTGTTCTTCGTCATCCTCCACGTCTCGTTACCGTACAGCAGCACAGACTTCACATATGAGTTGAAAAACCGAATTTTTGTTTGCTGCGGTGTTCTTTGGAGCTCCAGATTTTTCTGAGCTGGAAATGCTGCCCTGCCAATCCTCGCCTCAACATCTGCACTAGTGCCGCCCTGCCTGTCAATGATGCTTCCCAGATAGGTGAAGGACTCGACTTCAATGGGTTCCCGTTGCATGGTTGGGTGCTGGTACTATTTGCTTTCAGGTTTTTTGTTTTCTCCCTGTAAATGTTTAGGCAAACGTGTGAGGAGGTGTCTGCCAGTGTTATTTTCTTCTCTTGCATTTGTTTGCAGCTGTAGGAGAGTAGTACAACAAGGTCTTCCACAAAGTCCAGGTCATTCAGTTGTGTCCATTTTGTCCACTGGATTCCATCTCTCTGCTTCTCTGTAGTGGTCTTCATTATCCAGTCGGTAGCAATTAAGAAGGAAGAGAAACGGAGAAGGCAGGCATCCTTGTCTGACCCCGATTTTTTACTTAGAACTGTCTCGGTAGCTGTCTTCCGTGAGCAACTATGTATCCCGTTCGACTATAGCTGTTCTCGATAATTTTGGCCAGCTTTGTGTGCACGCCATTAGTGTCGAGGCAATTTCCACAGGGTTTCTCTGTCTACGCTGCCAAACGGTTTTTCATAATCGATGAAATTGATGTACGGTGAGGAATTCCACTCTAGTGACTGTTTGTCTATGACGGAGTGTGACAATCTGGTCAGCACCTGATCTGTTCTTTGTGAATCCTGCTTACTGGTCTCTGAGTTTGGAGTCCACCACATGTTTCATTTAGTCCAAAAGAATTCTTTTGAAGACTTTCCCGGGTAGGCCCATATAGCAGGGTGATTCTTTTATAATTTGAGCATTTGCGGAGATCACCCCTCTTTGGTAGCTTGATAAGGTAACCCTCCTTCCAGTTCGCTGGTACATCCTCTTCCTCCCAGATCTTTTCAAACAGTGGACACAGCAACTCTACGGTGGTGTCTAAATTTGCTTTTGAAGTTTCGGCTAGTGTTAACTTGGCCTGCTGCTTTCCCGTTTTTGAGTTTGAGGAGGGATCTCATCCTTGCTCGACCTGTCACAGTTAATTGGGAGATAAGTATCTACTGATTGGTTATCATGGGTTCGGTGGGCTTTGTCGATATAACAGCTTTTCGAAGTGTTCCAACCATTTATTTAGCTGGTCTTCTTTTGCCATGATGGCCTTTCCCTCTTTATCTTTGACTATCCTGCCTGGTTTGCTGTATTTGCCTGACAGCTTCCTGGTGATGTCATACAGTTGCTTCATCGTCTACTGCCAGCTGCTTGTTCAGCTTCCTCAGCCAGGCTGTCAACAAATCTCCGTTTGTAGGCCCCGGTGTTCTTCTTTTCTTCTCTGTTGCTTCTCAGTCTACTATCTGATGCCTTTGCTTTTGATGCTCTTGTCCAACTGGTATTCAGTTTTACTTTCTTGTACTTTCTAATCTCGACATTGCGAAGTGTGTCTGCTGTTATCCACTCTTAGTGCAACTGTTTCGTGCTGTCCACTACCTCCTCACGCGCATTTCTCCTTTGACATTCTTCCATGGGCCTTCGGCGGTTCCATCCTCAAATATTTCCTCAAGAACTTGACACTTGTTTGAGAGCTTCAGCTTGAACTCCATTGCTGTCTGGATGTCACTCAAGAGGCCCACATCATACCGTTGTTTCTTCGTTGTTGGGCTCTCTTCAGCTTCAGCCACATTGCAGCAATTAGCAGATGATAGTCTGATGTTACATCCGCACGTCTTCCGACTCAAACATCTAGAAGCGATCTTTGGAACCTCTTGTTTATGCAGATGTGTTCTATTTGGTTTCTCTGAAATGATCTTGGGATCCCCATGTCGCTTTCGTGAATTCTCTTGTATGTAAAGATGGCACCTCCGACGACTAGCTCGTTCAGGGCACGATTATTAATATCTCTCCATTTTCGATCATCTCAACCCTTGTATTCCCATCACCTCCTCGTAGCCAGTTTGGTCTTCTCCAATCTTGGCGTGTAAGTCGCCCATGACGATGGTAATACCTTTCTCTGAACGTTTGTCAAGGATGGTCTGGAGCTGGTTAGAGAGCTCTAACTTTGTTTTGTTTTCTTGTTGCTGTTATTTGTTGGCGCACAGCACTGGATGACATGTACGCGTACAGGTTCTTTCTCGGGTTATTCATCATCCCGCTTTTAAGTCTCACGTGGTCTCGAGGTGAATATCGAGAACGAGATAGCATTCTAAAATTAAACGAGATGAATTGAGGTTGATTAGGATTCTATAGAACGTGTCCTCCTCATCATGACAATTCATGCATGAATATTTTTGCATGATTGGGGAATAATGCCTCTGCCGTTAAAAATGAACTCATTTGCCTCACCGCGTAAACTCACCGGATCCTCGATTTTATCGATTACTCGATAGAATCCCAAGCAACCTTCAATGCATTTTGTTTTATTTGGGGTAAGATTTTGCAGCTGGCTTTTGCATTGTAAATTCGTGAATATTTTTTTTTCTATTTGTTCGTTTGTTGTACCTTCGAATGGAATCCTGGATTTTTGATTATTTTTATCCACAGATTACAATTGTTGGACGGAGATCGGAAGACGTCATTCCTACGCTGCGCGAGAGCTTATTGGTGGACACCTTGGATTTTGTCTTCATGGATCATTGGGAGGAGTTCTACGTGAGGGACCTGAAACTCCTGGAGTCTCACGGCCTTCTGAAGAAGGGAACCGTCATCTTGGCGGACAACGTCATACATCCTGGAGCTCCAGACTACCTGGAGTACGTGCAGAGCTCAGAGAAATACCATACGGAGTTGATCCACTCTACCCTTGAGTATTCTAACAAGGAAGACGCCGTGGCCATGTCGGTTAATCTGGGATAAACGGAAACACGGATGTCAGCGCTGATGTGAATTTCTTTAATTTTCCCAATATGTTATCCTTTCCTTTTAAACACTTTGATTTAATTTGTGAAAATTGTACGGTGTTGTAAATTGAACCTTGCAAGGAGACAAAGCAAAGTCTAGATAAAATCCAATCAAATCAAACACGTACCTGTTTTGTATGCTTTTCCTATATTGTGGCAATGCAGTGAGTACCCATGGTATGATCCTGTGTGATTATCAGTAAAGAAGAAAAATTGACATACAAATAGCGCCCTCTTTGGCTGGCAAATTTGATTGGGCAGCTGGTGCAGAAATTTGGCGTTAGGCCTACCTAACCGAATGGCCACTCTTAGAGGCGCACTATATTGTGAAACGCCCGTGATCAGGTAGCCAAATCTTCATGATTTGGAGTACCAGTGTATTAGGTGTGCTTTACATACAAGTTGTCCACATAAAAAGTATACCGAGATAAAAATTACATTAATAGCAAAACTACTTTATATATGGGGTAGAGAAATATATCTCTACAGAAAGGGCAGAATACCCTCTTTGCGATGGTATACAGCTTGTGATGTTATTGACACAGATGAGTGAACAAACTAGACCAGTGTTTAGGGTACATTCCTTGTTTTCAAGAACGCATTCTTGAAAACAAGGAATGTACCCAAATCGATCTTATCTGCTTTGTTTTCGCTACTTACCTCATCAGTTTAATGTGCTAAGTCCTCCACATGGCCACCATTCCTGTCAACGCACATCTGACATCTTCGTCACATGTCCCTTACTGCTCAGAAATAGGCACCTTCTAAGTCGGGGTTTCCCCTGAATAGCCAGAAGAAAAATAATAAATGGCGCCGGTCCACTTGGCGGAATTCTCCAGACCATGCAAGCTAGCAATTAGTCTGTGGAGAAAAACTCCAAGGGACGACCAGACACTTTTCCGGCAGTGTATAATAGAAGAACGGTTGGCCAATCTCAAAAGATCATTTGGTTATCCTGGTTCAAAGAAGGCAGTTGTTTTGATTTGAATTTAATTTAAAGATATCGAAGTTGGAAATGGATTGGATGTGGGAGATATCAAAGATGAAGATTAAAGTTTCATTAGTTTGGGGATGAAGATTTAATATGATTTGAGTTACATAATTTATTTCATTCAAGTCTGGTTTGGAACTTGATTTGAGATTTATATTTATTTGAGTCCGATTTGGAATCAGAGCTGGACATAAAATTTGAAATTGACCGTTGTGTTAAACATTGAACACAAGCTTGACGCACAATCAAATCTAACTGAGCTCAGGAAGAAACAATTTTTTCGATTCTCTATTATTTCCAAGTCAAATGTTTTATTAGAATTTAACGTCCATTAAATTCCAATCACCGTTCAATGTACACTTTGTGTAGTGAAGTGATTTAGTTGTTTGTTTTATTTGCATTTACTGAGTAATTTTAATTTTTGGTTAATATGTTTTGTTTAATTTAATTAAATTTTCATTTGAGTTTAATTTCCTTGACAGTTTCAATATCAATTTTGTTTGTAGGGAGCCAACGGCCCCAAAACCTGGTTTCACTGCTGTATTTCACCTTGCACGCGTTCTAACGGGCGTTTCCATGTGCATTTTAGTGAGCCAGTTGGACATTCCAATAGCGTATTTTCAAAATTAGGCGCGTCCGAGGCCTGCCCAATTAGCGGGACCTTCATGAATGACGTTTTGTTGCTGCTGTTGCTTGTTATTTTGAAATACTGAATAGGTTCATATCCATAATTAGTTTGATGGGCTGTGGCGCTAAATAACGTTTTTGGAATTTGCATGCGATAATCATGTGGAGAAAGTGCTCTCCGGATTCGGGAGGTGGTTGGTGAGTCGTTTTTGCACCGGTCTGTGCCTTGTAAACGCGTAAAATACCCGTTACCTACGAAGCAAAGGGAGCAAAATTTTCCATGGAACGGACGAGTACTGCGCATCGCTGGTTCACGAACCACTATGAAACATTACCGTTGTAGTCACAAATACATGTAGCTACAGCTCTTTTCAAGCGATAGGGGGTGATTCTGCTCTCAGGACATCTTCCCCCACATAGGCTATCTGCGGCAGCAACACTACCAACATATTGGAACTTGGCTACTGCGGGCGCAAATCAATCCTCACGATATATTTTTCTAAAGTCAAAGTAGTGAAAAGAGGAAGTCTTTTACAGGCATACTCCTTCGCTTCTTATTCCAATGCATCGATCGCGACTGTTGTCAACGGTGACACTGAGTAGGCATGGTACTTTAGTACCACGTCAAGTTCAGCGTCGCGTATAGTAGTACTTAACTTGTACATGTACATTATATCGCGTGATAGGTCATGTGATGCCGGTCATGGATCCATATTCATCACATACAGGCGCTGATTGGTTCCTCTGGAAAACGCGAGGAAAAGAAAAGAAAAAAGTTAAAGGGCTTGTAGGTGATTCCCAAGACGGTAGAACGAGCCGTCGATTGGTCGATCGAGAAGGCGCACTAATAGAAATCGGCGCACGCGGCACATGCGCAATCGATCGAGTCCGCGTTACTATCGAGTTCTGCCGTCTTGGCCCAAGACTAGCGTTGGAGACGAAATCGCGGCCGTTTGCCAATACTCATCTTGGGCTCTGTCTTGGGCTTCAACTGTTTTTTCTTACTTCCTGACTTTGGGGTTGTAAGCGCAATAGTAAAGCCTGATCGTGCCACAAAACATCAGTTGAGATGCAAAAGAGCCAAGCATTACAGTACTTCAATTTAAGTTAACCGCTTCAGGCCCACAATCGAGGATTGGTTTCCTACACCAGGAGTCAGGTTGGCGGAGTGGTTCTTTCCTCGCCTTCCACCTCTTTGGCCCGGGTTCGAATCCCGGCCCGGTCCGCATGTACAGTGGGTTTTCAGCAAAGATCCGATATAGCGCTGCTTAGCGGCGCTATACGATCTTTGGTTTTCAGTCGCCACCCGATTCCGTGGGTTTTACCCAGAATCTTCCTTTGGGGTTTTCCTCCCACCTCTAAAACTGTAACTGCCTCTCCGATTGTCTCCTCTCTAAAGGTTTCTTCAGGCTTGTGAGCTACAGTGGCTAGGGCGCTTTTGAGGAATCCTTGGTGTCATTAACCAGAAATATATAATAATAATAATACACGACGCCTGAGACGGAGACCAAGTTCAGAACCATCTCGACACGCGAGGGCGCAGTCACTCATATTGAATAATGGCGGCTTGCAGGGAGTTACGTGAGGAACATGCTAAAAAATTCTTGGATTCCATTGACACGGTTCTGTTTGATTGCGATGGTGAGTAGATACGTGTGGTGTGAGAAGGTATTTCCATGTGACTGGCAGAATGGCTATCCCGTTTAAATTTAATGTTTAATCAATAACTTGGTTTTGGGGGTTGTGAATTGTGATGACCGATGACATTATGATGATGCGGTGAGACCTTGATAAGGCTAGACCCATATAAACAGGGCCCAACGAATATTCCTCCGTCGTATACTGGGCCCTGTTCCAATTAAGAGGGATTTCTTTTGAAAACTTTATCCGGGACATTCTGGGAGCATAACTAAACATCCGCTTAATTTTATGAGCTGAAATTGCACCGGTACGGCGGTAGGCCTACGTTCACGACTAGTTTGCACACAGACTTCAGCACTTACTGTACGAATTTTGTTCAGATCTGTGAGAGTACCAGTTAATTTGAGTAAGCTAATACGCAATGCCCATGGCTGGTTCCCTGTCCAGTCACACTTGTGGCAAATCATTGGTAGCGCGGCTCGCTCTCTATGACGTGACACAAAAGTGACGAAACAGCCGTCAGTTTTGTGCAAGTGGGGCAAAATTTGTCCGGAGTGGGAAAACGGCAAAAAAGGCTACATTTTTCCACCAAAGGAGAAAAAAAAAAGGCAAGTTTTCTGCAATTAGCAACCTAGGGATAGTTTACCCCGTAAGTAGTGAACATACCGGTGCAATTTCAGCTCATAAAATCAAGCGGATGCCCAAAGATGTCCTGGATAAAAATGTTTGAAAGAAGTCCCTATGAACTGATGAATCGGGACAGGGCCAAGTATACAACAGAGGAGTATTCATTGGGCCCTGTTTACAGGTCTAGGGTCATGAGGATCTATTCATGCATGATGCTATTTAGTTTACAAGTCTAACGTACATTTATGACATTAAAACACCTGCAAATCATTTGAAATTATGAGGACGTTGATTACATTGTCATTGGAGATAAGTTGGGGGTGATTTTTAGCACTGTTTTACATGATTGACTACAGGTTGGAGGCTATCATGTCTGGCTTGTTGAGAATAACTGTGCCAGGGAAAACCCTTTTTTTTGCATGAAATCGGAAGGGGCCCCTTCTGTGGAGTAATGGCGGAATAACCCACCACTCTAAAAAAAAACGACCCCTGGAGTGACTGGTTACGTGGGTACAAGGTGAAAATCCCTTGAGAAGAATGTGACACTTTGACCTGTACATGTACATGACTATGAGGTTGATCATGCGGGGTGATGGGGTATTTTGCATTTGAGCTCCTGTTAACCTGTTTCCCCCCTCCCCAAATAGTCCTTCAGACCAGTTTCGTAGGGTTTGTGCATAGGGTTCATGTACTTTATCAAGTGCCATCCACTTATGTACAACATGTGTATGGAGTTCTTTCTAAGACCTGTGAGGAGTTCACAGGTTCCTCATAAGGGTTCACAGTTCTAGCTTGTCTGCCCATTACAGTTGAGACATCTCCTCAAAATGCTTTGCCGACCATATTGTAATGTATAATGTGGGCAGAGCTCCAGCTTAGCGGCAGTAGGCCTTACATACATGTATATGTTCACCTGTAATTTTCTATCTCTTTGGGAATAGGATATTGGCCTGAGGTCACATTTCAAATTAGCATTTCAGCTGTCTATTGTCTTTGCCCTTGTCTGCCGGTCTTGAGTTGCTGATTGGATAACCAGAAGAGCTCAGTGAGCCCCTTCGTGCTTCCAACAGCGCATGCATGCCCGAGTGATGAAGGGCATTGTTCTGGAACAGGAGTTTCGAGTACATGCATCTGCCATGCAGTCCTACCAGCATGGCCCGATCACCAACTCGAATTTTGTGCTTTGTGCCTTTTTGAAATACTGAACTGGCTCGTCGCGCCTGGTCACGTTGTTTCGTTGTCTGCAGAATCCTGAATGTGATGTTGAAGTTGCTCGATAAACGTACGTACTTGCATGCATACATACCGTAGCATGCTGGATCACAAAATGATAATGTTCAATGTATTATCAACCCACTGAAACATGTGGGCAGGTAATGTACAATGGCTTCTCACTGACCGTGCATATAATGGGTCATTCCGTGAAGTTGGGAACGCCTGGTTATTTGCCTGTGGTCTAAAGACTTTGGAATAAACCACATGGCTATTCAAATAATTAGCCAGTTATACATCATAATATGAACACGTAACCAATTTGGTTATATTTGTGGAAGCTTTTTTCGCAGCATAAAGCATGAAAAAGTGGTTTTCAGTTATCGAACACCAGGTTTTTTGTGTCAAAATAAATGGACATTTAAGAAACAGAGAGTGGCTTGAAAGTAAATGTGAACATTATCATATTCTTTACATATTCACATATTAACCCTCGACAGTTCACTATATAGTTTTTATGTTATCTACCCCTCTTTCGTAAGTGAGTCTGTTTAGTTTCAGGGTACAGACGTAACATGGTTTCCGTACACAAATAGCCTTGTTACCTCCGAAACAGACGTTTGTGAGTTTTTGGGTTTTTTTTATACCTGGAAAATACCTGCTAACTACACCCCCACGTTTTGAAAACTACAACCCAGAGGTACTTTTTCTCAACTCGGCGATTGCTGCTGTACTCCAGTTCCAAAGATAAAAATTTGTTTTTGCCAATATGCCGAAACGCCCCTCGTTGGAAATGGATTCATCCATGCTTCAACAGCGACGCTTAGGGGTGCATTCGTGTGGTAACTCCTTTTTAATTCGAGTAGGATGCCTGCGCATTACACCCGGGTGCAGGAGTACCCTCTCCCGTATAGTGAGAGTATACTCTCGAGATCTTGCTGACCCTCAGTTCCTACTCTAGCCGTTCGAGCGCTCAGGAGTATACATGTAGCTCGCTCAAACACACCGTGGAATTTGCCAAACAAAACATCGCTTGCCAGGTGGGTCCATGTGCATTTTGTTCATGCGTTCTTCTAATTGAAAACGAAAATAATAAAAAAAAAGACCAAGTCGTTTTCCATTTTCCAATTTAAAAGCAAAAAATGGAAATCGAAGAAGCGAGTCATTTCTTGTTTTTCAATTTAAAAAATGACAACAGAGCATTTATCTTCTTTCATTTAAAAATAAAAAACGATAATCACATTCTTTTGTCATTTTCAATGTGAGAACGAACACCAACGTAATCTGTTGCTCCAATTCTTAAGAATGAAAAATGGTTTCATTTTTCATTGTGTAATGTTAGAAATGTCTCTGTAAGCCATCAATTCAAACATGGCTGAACTAGAGGAATACGAGGAATTTTTTGCTTCTAAATAAAAGGAGGAACAACTGACAAGGGAATTTCTTGCATGTACAAAGGCAACTTTCATCTTGAGCAGTGCTCTGAGCTGAGACGTCCGTGACACGTCCTCCGCGAAATTACGTGACGTGTGCAGTGGAACAAAATTGGGATTGAAATTTAAAACGATATGACCTTCGTTTTTAACGAGAAAAACAAAACCCGTCTTCGTGTTTTTCCCCATTTTTCATATTCAAATCGAAAAACGACTTGTTTGATTTTCCTTTTCAAATCGAAAAAGGAATGAACGAAATGTACACGTACCCAGATGTTGTCATGTGTGGATTTTCCCGCTTGCCAAACACAGAGTTTCCAAGCATTACGTCTGCGATGTAATTACGCCACCTGAAGTTTTTTGGGGAAGTAAATTCAGCCATTAGAGACTGGTGTCATTGATTTCTAAGTAGATAGATGATCATAGAAAGAACGAATCCAGAAAATTTACGACACGCGTAGTTTGTTAATGTTTGCTTATTTTGTTTATTTTTTACAATTTGTAATATGGGCGTTCCACAATAGCGCGCCTCCAAGAGTTTGGTTCCCGTCACAGAAAGGGAAAGGGCATGCCCTGCTTTTGAATACATCACATGATGTAAGTCAAATATTGTGCTTTTTTCATGGCAATGGTATCGTGAATATCCACCTTTCTGAGAAGAAACAGCAACTGGAAGCTTGTGTTTGTCTACAGTACTCCCCTGGGGCTACATGTATACATGCTGAACCTCAAACCAGCTTCATCGCATGAACTATTGCCTTCGTTACCAGTCGATATCTTACTATTCCCTGGCAATATCATTTTTCTCCATTGACTGTTTGCAGGGGTGATATGGGATGCCACTGATGAAATACCAGGCGCAAAAGAGACGCTAAGGAAGCTGAAAGAACTGGTGAGTAGCCGTAAAGATCAGACTGGCAACCTGATCAGATGGGAAGGGGGTTGGGATGAGGAGGATCAGCCCCCCCCCCCCCCGTGCCCCCAAGAAAAATCATGTGACCTTTTTCCTTCTACCTGCTTCAGTATGTCAGAAACTGTATTCCCAGCTTCGTCGGCATTTAGGTTGTGATGAAATAATGTGGGCAGTTGTTTTTGGAAAAAACAATTCCCATGTCCCCCCCCAACTGGGGACCCAAGACCACACATGTATATGTATGTCACTGGTTGGCACTTGGGTGGACATCTGCTTGTCTGCCTCAAAACTCAGAGATTTCATTGGTCACTTCAGGTATGCATCACAATGCCTATTTTCTGTCATTCTTCTGTGATTGGCTAAGCGCATGAGCCAACTCACAGGCACGACACGTAGAAGGGTAATTCCAGAAATTAGGGGTCCATTTTTTTTTCATATCCCTGTCACATCTGACACATGATTTTGTAAGGTCAGAACACATTTTCTAATTTCCAAGGATTAATGCAATTAATGCAGTTTACCTGCTTAACAAATTGTAATAGTTTGAAATCAATTCTTGTGATATTTCCATGTCAAATAACAAAGGTCAGATGTAACAGGCACACAAAAATGCCACAGTTTTGGACCCCTTATTTCATGTATGTACATGTGTATCGTAGTCGTGGGACTATACACATGTTGAACATTTCAGATATTGGGACAAAGTTTTGTCCCTGCAACTCCAACCTGAGTTTCCTTACAATAGAAATTGTTCCTTCAGTATTCAAGCTTTCGGTACACCTAGACTTGCCAAGGCACCGCTTGTAGTAAACCCAGCAAGAAATGAGCCCGAGGGGTACCCCCCCAACATGTCCAATCCCTATACACANTCCGTCTCATACCTTGCTGCATACGGCTTGTAGGCACAGCAATCATAAACAGTCTGGTTCTGTCCTAATGGACAATTTGGGGGGGCTGCAACCTGCACCCAAGTTTCCTTACAATAGAAATAGTTCCTTCAGAGTTCATGCTACATGTGGGCTTGCTACATGTAAGGCACTGCTTGTATTAAGCACAGCAATAATAAAAAGTCTGGTTCCATCCTAATGGACAATTTGCAATTTATAAAACAGATAAAGAAGCAAAACCGAAAATGACTTACACATGAAAGGACTAATTACAAATTAGGATAAACTGACCAATCTCGCTGGTACTTGATATTTAAATTATGAAATATTGCTATGAATCTACAGTAGGCCCTATGTACCGTACATACTCTTAGAAAAGGGCATTTTCATTACATTTTGGGTGCTACATGAAAATAAACGTCACTTCTGAAACTAAATTGCTGATTTTCTTTATCTCTGTAGTCTACATACAGTGTACAGTATATGCAAGTACATGCATAGGTCTTTGAGGAGATGTATTGACGTCGGACAAAAGTGACCTGGGATTACAGAATAAGGCTCAAGCAATGACAGAAATTGAACCAAAAAATTGCATGGTCTAAGGCGTCTTCAGAATCCAATTAACTGAATGTGATTTCCATTCGAGGGTACGACTTTGTGTTCTTTTGCTTACTTTTCTTTTCAGGGAAAGCGGATAATTTTCATCACAAACAACAGCACCAAGTCGAGGAGTCAGTATGCAAAGAAATTCACCCAACTTGGCTTTGAAAGCGTGCCAAAGGTACGTGATCAACATAGAGTGCCCTGATACACGTACATGCACCGAAGCTTCCCTATGAAAGGAAAAACTATTGCCAGGTTTAGTACTGATGTAAAAGATGTGCAGAGAGCATTGCAGATCAGTTTCCGACGACAGGCAGTCATATGGAAATGCTTGATTATGATTGACGCTAACAGGGACGATGACAGTCGACAGAATTGAACTTGGTTCACCTTTGTCGACAGTCTGCACTGATTCACTTGAGTAAACATATACAGACACGCACAGTGGCATGACGGCATGCAACAATGTCTCTCTCGCTTAGTGCCATTTTCTTCACGTCACTAACGAAACATGCAGCCCCAATCGTCAACAAAAATTGATCACTGACCACAAACAAAATACGGCAAACTGGAGTATCAGTATGGCTTCAAGCAGCGTCACAGCACTGCCAATTACATACATGTATATACGTGTATAATTTGCAGTGGCACCCTTCGATGGTGACAGGGGTAGTGATATTGCATGGAACTGTGAATACCTACATGTACATTTCCGTGTATTTTGGTTGGGGAAAACCCAACACAGTACCTTTTGGCCATTGAAGGGGTCTGTTGGGAGTACACGTACATTACTGAACAATATCTGATTCCACCAGACAAGGTGTGCTTACA